TTGCCTGGACGGTGGTGTTGCCTGGATGGTGGTGTTGCTCTGAGCGGTGGTGTTGCCTGGACGGTGGTGTTGCCTGACGGTGGTGTTGCCTGGACGGTGGTGTTGCCTGGATGGTGGTGTTTACAGTACCTGGTGGTGGCGGCAGCTGGGGAGGTGAACGATGAATGTGTTGGCCATTGACCAAGAGGGAGCCCCTGGGGTTGGCCAGTATTTTTTAGGACCGACTGGCCAGAGAGAGAGAGAGAGAGAGAGAGAGAGAGAGACCCGAGATGTATTGGGAAGGGGAGGAGGGGTGAATGGGGAAAAATAATAAGACAGATGGTAAGAGGAAAGCGTGGTGAGAGGAGAGGTAGAAAGGTAGGTGGGTGGGTTGAGTCCATGAGGTAGATGGGAGAGAGTAGAAGGGTCGGGGAGGGGGAGAGAACAAGCTGGATGGGAGTGTATGTGAAATCAGGAGTAAAGAAAACAAAGACGAATAATGAGAATAATTAAATATGAACCAAACTAAAAAAAAAATCCATGATCATTCTAGGTGAATATTAAAAACTACGATATTTGAGAGTAAATGAAATAAACTGAATGAACATGTAATTAAGAAATAACACAAGGTAGAATTATAGATCCACCGCATCTCAAGTTAAATTTTGGGGAAAAAATACTTAAAAGATTCGTGGAGTACATTAATATATTTCTCGTAACTAAAGCCGTAAGAATGACGTCAGGATTACACCAAGACTCAACTTGAACTCGATATGTTTACTCACCAGATTGAATTGAAGTAGTGGTGTCTTTCCTTAACCTTCGTCCCCTAGGCTTTGTTAAGAGACATTATTTATTTAAGGATGGTTAGTGTGTCTTTAATGTTACTTTTTGTACACTTATTTTGGTGTTGTAGCTTAAGTTCATCAGTTAACAAGTTACTTTCAGGTTAATAAATATTATGCTAAGACAAACAGACGAAATAATGATAAAAAGCAAGAGAATATATAAAATTTTGATCAACTAAATTAATAATAATAATAATAATAATAATAATAATAATAATAATAATAATAATAATAATAATAATAATAATAATAATAATAATAATAATAATAATAATGCGCCCAAGAATGACGCCTCAAAACAGAGAACGAGTAAAAGGGGAAGAGGGGGAGCCTATTGGAAAATTAACTTGACGAAGGTATAGCCAAGAGAAATGGAGAATAGGAAGGGGAACGAGTGTGAAAAAGGCAAGATGGATGAACAGGGGGGAAGGGGAGGGAAGGTGGACCAGATGACCGTGTGTGTGTGTGTGTGTGTGTGTAAAGAGTGGACATGGATGTATGATGTGGGTGTATAGGTGGGTGTAGGTGGGTGAATATATAGATCGTATTTGACTATAGGGTGTAAATGGTGTATAGTGTATGAATTTTTTTTATGGATGTGCAGTGTTTATGTAATGTTATTTGAGACCGATTAAAATTTACTTTGGAGATTTGTATATAATTAAACAGTTATCATTTGGGAAATCACTGGGATAAAACACGGTAAATTATAATGAACTTTTCCGCATAAAAATACAAACGTGTGTTTTTTTTTCCATCTAGAATTTTAATTGCAATATTTTTTTTTCCTGGGTGAGAGGAGCTGGAATTGAACGTTTCATTTTTTTTTCTAGTGCAGCTAATATGAATTTATAGCTATCCGTTTAGAATTGATAAATTAATTAACGATTAACATGCGATCATGATATATGCCGCATCCACATATCCGATCCATCACTAGATTATAACACGGTGTGGCCATGAGGATTGTTGTGTGGCCAAGTTACTGGTCTCATTTCAGCCGTGAGTGTAGTGAAGTTCCTTTCTGAATGCTCTCTGACTTTCAACAACAGATGTATCTTGTATAGACTGTATATAAATGTAAGTCGTCGTCGTCTTCTTGTTGTCGCCTTCGTCCTTTGCTTGTCTGAAAAATGATCGAACATATAAGATTATTGTATAAAACCATCTGATTTTTGGCATGTTTGCATATTGGCTGGCCGTTTTGCAAAATAATCGACCGGAAAAAAAAACACATGTACTGTATATATTAGAGGGATTCTGATTTACTTTGTGACTTTGTAAATGACTAACAATTAATCTTATGAACTTATATATCTTAGATCTAGACAGGGTGAAGGTATCAGGCCAATTTCAACAGATTTTCATCAGTTGTGGGAGTCAATGGTACTGAGTTGGCCGGGGTAGTGACGCTACTCTAGTTCTCGCAGATAAGCCAGAGGTACTTAACCCCCGCCTATCATATCCCTGGGTGACTACTACAGATAGATACAATCACTGGCTGGGAGCGCTGTACTAGTGTTCAAACATGGAGCCTTCCTGTACACGCGCTGCCAGCCAGTGATTGTATCTCCAGTAGCCACCCAGGGATATGTTTACCTCTGGTTTATCTACGACGACTGTACATAAACCCAAAGTTTTCTTACGAATTGTGTTGGTTTATTTCATCTGATTTTTGTTTTGTTTGTGTGGCTGGTTACAAGGAATTTATGTTGTACACGGTATACTGTAGTTATGTTAGTCAATATAAGTAACCAGACACTTTATGTAAACACTTGAATATTTCGATTAATAGTTGTTACCTATCCTAACCCCAACTGTCAATATTAGCCTCCTTAATTGGCGAACATAAAAACTATGAACCTCATGAGTTGGCGATCATTAGGTTGTGTTAGCCACTCAGGTGGCGAGCATATGGTAGTACTGCATTAATTCCCCCTCCCACTTGGCGATCATTAGGCAGTATTAGCCTCCTTAGTTGGCGAGCATGAGGCAGTATTAACCCTCCTTTCCCCAGTTGGCGAGCATTAACACAGGGGAGGCGGCGACGGCCATCACGCTAGAGACAGATGACTGCCTGGGGCAAAAACCTCCCGGGAAGACTGGACAAATTACATCTCGTCGAACTCGATCACCGGGCCAGTGTATCCATCTTCCCCGTGACAGCCACAGTGGACCTAATGGGACCCTCTCTATCGCTACTACGGGGCCATGAACCATGAGGTGATAAACCATGAGGTGATGAACCATGAGGTGATGTACCATGAGGTGATGAACTACAGGTTATGGGTTGATGTACCACTGGGTGATGTACCATGGACTAATACACCATTCGTCACTGCTTTTGGGCCCTAAGGGTATTTACCGACTCTTAGGTCTACCCCGGACTACTATCATGGGGTTATACCACAAATCTGGTCAATGAACCTGAGGGGCACTGTGAGGAACAATGCCATGGGGAAGTGTTATAAGACCATAAGTTACTGTAGCTACTATCATTGGGCGCTATCACCAGTACCTCTTGGCACCAAAACCCATTACCAGAACCAAAGGGCATCGACTCGGGGTACTACCATGAGATGCTGACCTTCACCACACTTAGTAATTATATGACCGGGGAGGAGGTCAGTGTTTACAGTAGAGGCTCTTGGCACTCCAGGTATGTGAGGATGTCTGAGAAACAAAGAAATATGGATCGTGATATTATGTCTTCTCGGTTCTGAAATGACTTGAATTGGAAGCCCTTTAACAGAAGCAAAATGCCATAGTTTACTCAAGAACAAGAGATGGTAATGATTAATTTTGTATTAAATATGTTTTTATATACAGTACTCTAAGTCGTGAAGTAACTCTGATTTTAAGTTACTTTACGTAAAACTTATTTTTTACACATTCATAAAGGGTAAAAAAAAACATCCAATTACACTCCCAAGAAGTACCATCTTTTTTATATCTACTTGTGAAATGACGAATTTTAAGTCTTAAAGAAAAAATCTCCCACATACACTTGACTGTAAAAGAGGGTAGGTGTTAGTGTATTACCAGAGAGAGGTAGCGTTTTTTTTTTCCTTTTTTTACGTTTTTTTTTTCACTTGACTAAAAGATCAACAACTTGTGATTACCCCTTGGCGCCAGAGTCTTGTTGCGGCTGCTGGTGATCTTGACTCCAGAGTCTGGTAGGCCAGGAGCGATGGCCACATTTACGGAGCTGCCGATGTTTTAGTGATCTCCCGGGAGTGGGTCAGGCCGGAGCCGCGTCCTTATAGATGTAATAAAGATAAGAGCCGCACGCCCGCTGAGCATCGACGAGTCCTGGAGAGGGGGATGGGAACCTCTGTTAAAATAATCGACTTCGCGTGAAATAGAGTTGAGACTGACTTTGTCTCTTATATTGTGTTTTTTTCCATCTGATGTACGTTCAACTCTTCCACTGTTCAACATTCAGATGAGATCAGGACTGTGTAGCGGGTTGAACGATTATCTTAGAGGGGGAGAAACTGCGTCAGGTCATTATTATTGATTAATGATGGAATGGACCCCAAGAGAGGTTCAGAAGCGGCCTAACAAGCACTTCATCAGGACTAGAGTGAATTAGCGAGGAGCCCCTAATTACCAGACTTGCTGTTAACTAATATAACGCTGGTTAAGCTCCGTATCTCTCAATCTAATCAACCCTGATGACTTTTCGTGGCGATGCTGACGGCGACAACACCGAGCCAGTGTTTCTGCGAGGTGTCTTTGATGACGGGAAGGTGAAGCTCGAGGACAGATTCTTCACTTGAGAATTACTGTGCGTTGTGATTTACAGTGTTCGTATCTTTATACACACTCACCCACTCTCTGGTCTGTATCTGTCTGTCTGTCTGTCTGTCGCCATTTGTTTATTTTTATTTTAGTTATTCAAGATGGAACTAATTAAAAAATATTTCTATATATTTTATGCAGTTTTGAATACACCACAAACACTACTGTATAATTTTACATTTGCTTTACACTGGGGGATTAATCTGCTGCTGTCGTAAAATACAATGTGATACAGCACCAATTATTGCCCGCCTTTGTTATTGGTTTCTTTGGTTATGTAAATTATGGAAATTAGAACTACCTTATTTGTGACGGGTCATGAACCTCTTTGGTAGTGGAGGTTAACCGTGATAGCGAGTCAGGCTTCACTTATCTTCTGTTGTATCTCTTGTCGGGTTGATTTCGAAGACGACGATGAAATGTTGTCACTACCTTAGGGCCATTGTTGTCGTCCTCATCGTTGTCGTTATCTTCTTCGTCGTCGTTATCTTTTTCGTCGTCGTTATCTTTTTCGTCGTCGTTATCTTCTTCGTTGTCGTTATCTTCTTCGTTGTCGTTATCTTCTTCGTTGTCGTTATTTTCTTCGTTGTTGTTATCTTTTTCGTCGTTGTTATCTTCTTCGTCGTCGTTATCTTTTTCGTCGTTGTTATCTTCTTCGTTGTCGTTGTCTTCTTCGTCGTCGTTATCTTCTTCGTCGTCGTTATCTTTTTCGTCGTTGTTATCTTCTTCGTCGTCTTCCTCATCGTCGTTGTCGTTATCTTCTTTGTTGTCGTCCTCATCGTCGTCGTTATCTTTTTCGTCGTTGTTATCTTCTTCGTTGTCGTTGTCTTCTTCGTCGTCGTTATCTTCTTCGTCGTCGTTATCTTTTTCGTCGTTGTTATCTTCTTCGTCGTCTTCCTCATCGTCGTTGTCGTTATCTTCTTTGTTGTTATTTACTTGATCGTTCGTTCCGTCGATGTAATCTTCGTTGTTTTTTTTTATTTCTGTAACCTCCACACTAATAGTTAACACCCTCCTGTAACCTCCACACTAGTAGTCAACACCCTCATATAACCTCCACACTAGTAGTCAACACCCTCATATAACCTCCACACTAGTAGTCAACACCCTCCTATAACCTCCACACTAGTAGTCAACACCCTCATATAACCTCCACACTAGTAGTCAACACCCTCATATAACCTCCACACTAGTAGTCAACACCCTCATATAACCTCCACACTAGTAGTCAACACCCTCATATAACCTCCACACTAGTAGTCAACACCTCATATAACCTCCACACTAGTAGTCAACACCCTCATATAACCTCCACACTAGTAGTCAACACCCTCATATAACCTCCACACTAGTAGTCAACACCCATATAACCTCCACACTAGTAGTCAACACCCTCATATAACCTCCACACTAGTAGTCAACACCCTCATATAACCTCCACACTAGTAGTCAACACCCTCATATAACCTCCACACTAGTAGTCAACACCCTCATATAACCTCCACACTAGTAGTCAACACCCTCATATAACCTCCACACTAGTAGTCAACACCCCCCTGTAACCTCATAACACAGAGGCTAAGTTTTCTTCAGCGTCGTGTGTGTTTACAACTTTCTTTTACAATCTCACGGCACTGCGAGTCTGATTTTTACAAGTTCGATGCATTTCGGAGTTTCTTTGTTTTCTACGTCTTCACAACAGCTTTAAGTTCTATTTTGTGAACTTCCTCTATGGTGTCATTCCATTTTTTAAAGAAGCAGATTGCAGAACTTTGGAGTAGCTAAATTTAAAGCTACTCATTGCAACCTTTAATCAGATGCAAGAGGAACATTGTCTTTCTGTCTATTATTGTCGTCGTATTGTTTTTGTTGTTCTTATTAATACTACTATTACATCTATACATAATTATTACAATGCTTTTCTCCCTCTTGATACAAATAGAAAATTTCCCATTCATTTCACAATTTTGAACAATCCCAAGTACAAGAAACACTGAAACTGACAGCCCAACCCGACCCGTAACATCAACCTACTTTAATCAAATTATCGGTTTCACTATGAACAATTTCGGTGCGGTTCCCTGATTGGTGGCACGAGTCCGGGGATTAATTTGGAGAGAGAGAGAGAGAGAGAGAGACTGACTATAATTCCTGTATCATAACCCATATAAAAAAAAAATATTCGTAAATTATGTATTCCGGACTTTTTTTTGATTCGCTGGTGATTAATTGTGAATAATCAGATTACTCTATAAATTAGTTATGAATGAATTTACATACATTAAAGGCATGGCTTACCACATTACCTAATACTGTTTTTTTTCTAAAAGGGGATTTGACTTGAATTTACCTGTAGGATTTTTTATAGGTTAATTTGGGTATTGTTTTTTTTTCTTATTATTGTTACTGTTGTTATTCTTTCTTTTTTATCTTCTTTCTTCTTCGTCTTCTATTTTTATTATCTTTGTTATTGTTATTAGTTCCAGGAATGGTGGTGGTAGAAATAGTGGTAGTTGTAGTAGTAGCCGGGAACAAGATTGCGAGGTAAGTCAGGTAGGGTAGTTCTTTTGCATTAGGATAGCTAGGTCATAAAATGGTGTTGAAGGCGTCCCACCCCCCAAACAATAGTAGTGGTAGTAGTAGTAGTAGTAGTGGTGGTATAGTAGTAGCAATAGCAGCAGTAAATAGTTACGGTCGTGTGTGGATGCTTGTGTACTTTTACTTTTAGTACACCGTAATCTACCTTCATAGTACAGTATTAGGTTAATGTTCCTGTATAATAAGTAAATTGTAAACTTTCATACAACCTTTACTCCTTCCCACATACAGTTAGCATCATCATTTATGTATATCTTTTATGTATACGAGAGAACATATATATATATTTTCGGAGAGTGTATGGTGTTAGTGTGAGCTGATGGTGTCACTGGTAATGTATGTGTATGTATAGGGGGGGGGGTGAAGTGCTATAAAAAGTGTGTGTGTGTGTGTGTGTGGCTCGGTGGTTGCACATCCTGGGTGGGGGCACCTCTTCCTCCCTACCACGGGCCACACCAAGGCCACACTCACCTTAATCTGATGGCTTTCGCTATACCTGAGACATAAATATGGAGAGAGAGAGAGAGAGAGAGTAAATGAATGATGATGGTGACAGTGATGATAGTCATGGTGTGGTGATGATGGTAATGATGTGGTGGTGATAATTATTATGTTGATGATGGTGATAACGATGTGAAAAAAAAAACATTTGGACTTTAAGGAATAAATAAATAAAAAGATTCTGTTAAAACTAATAAATCCAACCTTTCCTCTCCCTCACTGACTGTGCAACCATGCAACTCTTCCTACGGTAACCCTTTCTTGCAAATAATAGTAACATTGTGTATTATGATAGGCTTCCACACGACGCCTGAAAACAACAAAATTAAAATTAGCTATACATTAGAGGCGGTTTTATTGATGGTATAATGAAGATGTTCAGTCGTAGGTTCTTTAACAGGGTGGGTGGTGGTAATAGTGCCAGCATTGTTATTACCACACTGCCATCATCGCCCTCATTGCCACCACCACCACAATCCTCACTGCACTGCCAGGGTCACTGTCACCACACTGTCACCACCAACCTCACCACATTGGCTACCATCACCCTCATCACACTGCCACCACCAGCACACTGCTTCCACCATCACCACCAACCTGATCACATTGCTACCACCACCACCACCACCGCACTGCCACCACCACCACCAACGCACTGCTACCACCACCACCACCGCACTGCCACCACCACCACCAACGCACTGCTACCACCACCACCACCGCACTGCCACCACCACCACCAACGCACTGCTACCACCACCATTGCCGACCACCACCATTGCCGCCGCCACCACCACCATTACCCTCACCACACCTCACCACCACAGATCATTAACAAAAACACTTATCTTCCTAAAGTTAAAACAATAATTGTGTAGTGTGTGAAGTGACAAGATTTACGGTGCTTACGGACATAATAAGTTGATACACGAGTATATATTTAACTTACAATAACATCACCGAAGTAAATATTGTTGTACTCATTTAAATAAGCGATTAGTGGTACCTTTGTCGCGTGTTTTGTCCCATAGAGGCTTATTGCATTGTCATTAAAATTGGCTTCCCTTTGCCTTTTTCATATATTTCCCCTTCGCTCCTACCTCTCTCTTCCTCCTCTTTCTCCCTCCTTCTTCCCCTTATCTTCTCCCATCCCTCTTTTTCTCCCCATTCTCCTTCCTTCCCCCTTCTTCTCCCTATTCTCTTTCCTTCCCTCATTCTCCTTCCTTCCCCTCCTTCCCATTCCTTCTCCCTCCTTTTCCTCGACTTCTCCCTACTTCTTACTCCTTTTCCCTCCGTCCCCCCCCTCTCCTCTTACCTTCTCCCTCCTCCTACCTTCTCCCTCTCTCCTACCTTCTCCTCCTCCCACCTTCTCCCTCCTCCCACCTTTCCCTCCTCCCACCTTCTCCCCCACCTTCTCCTCCTCCCCCACCTCCTCCTCCCACTCTCCCTCCTCCCACCTTTCTCCCTCCTCCCACCTTTCCTCCTACCTTCTCCCTCCTCCCACCTCTCTCCTCCTACCTTCTCCCTCCACCTACCTTCTCTCCCTCCTACCTTCTCTCCCTCCACCCACCTTCTCCCTCCTCCTACCCTCCCTCCCCCTACCTTTCTCCTCCTCTTACCTTCTCCTCCTCCCACCTTCTCCCTCCTCCCACCTCTCTCCTCCCACCTTCCCCCTCCTCCCACCTTCTCCCTCCTCCCACCTTCTCCTCCTCCACCTTCTCCCCCTCCACCTACCTTTCTCCCACCTTTCCCTCCCTCCTCCCACCTTTCTCCCTCCACCCACCTTCTCCCTCCTCCCACCTTCTCCCTCCCTCCCACCTTCTCCTCCCTCCCACCTCTCCTCCTCCTACCTTCTCCCTCCACCTACCTTCTCCCTCCCTCCTACCTTCTCCCCCTCCTCCTACCTACCTTCTCCCTCCTCCCACCTTCTCCCTCCTCCCACCTCTCCCTCCTCCCACCTTCTCTCCCTCCTCCCACCTTTCTCCCTCCTCCCACCTTCTCCCTCCACTCCTACCTTCTCCCTCCCTCCCTACCTTCTCCCTCCACCCACCTTCTTCCTACCTTCTCCTCCTCCCTCTTCCTTCCTCTCCCTCCTCCTACCTCTTCCACCTTCTCCTCCTCACCTTTCTCCTCCTCCCACCTTCTCCCTCTCCCCTTTCTCCCTCCTCTTACCTTCTCCCTCCTCCTACCTTCTCCCTCCTCCTACCTTCTCCCTCCTCCTACCTTCTCCCTCCTCCTACCTTCTCCTACCTTCTCCCTCCTCCTACCTTCTCTCCGCCCTCCCTCCCCATTAGGTAAAAACTCGGAGACGAATGTTAGCCAAAATTACTCACGGGAAAAAAAGTCGGCAATGATTCGTCACGAGGCGCTAGTTTTTGCTTCCTGGTGCTGTGTAGGGGATCTGATGTGTCGAGATGTAGAGGGCGTGGTGTGTAGAGGGTGTGTGGGGTGTAGAGGGTGTGTGGGGTGTAGAGGGGGGTGTGGGGTGTAGAGGGGGGTGTGGGGTGTAAAGGTACGGAAGGGAGAAAAGAAAAAGGGAATAATAGAATAGTAGTGTAGAAGGAAAATAAAGACATGATAGAAATAGGGGCATATAAAGAAGTGGAGGAATTAGAGAAACTGAGGATATGTAAGGAAAGAGAAGTGAAGATGAATGAGGAGAGGAAGGGAAGGAGAGAGAGAGGAGGGAGAGAGGGAAGGAAGGAGGGTCGGATGGAGAGAGACAAGGAAGGAGCTAGTGCAGTTCCGGGTGTAGGTTTCACACACACACACACACACACACACAGTGTTATCATTATACAGTGTGGCATCAGAAGTGTGGCGCCCCTGAGGTGGGGGGGGACACTAGCCGTGGTTCATGTGTTATTTAAGGCCCGTGTCCACTTTTTTTATAATTCTACACCACTTTACTTCCTA